CCACAGACAGTGATGTCTCCAACAACAATGGTGTGGACACCATTGTATCTCTTTGCATTTCAGTTCTTATCCTAGGGGGCTTGTACACTGCTTTGCAATCTGGCTGCTAAGTTACTTAGAGGAAAGGGACACTTGGTGCTTTCAATTCTACCGTCACTAACATGGAGTGGGAGCGATGCTTTTAGCTGTCCCAGTGAAAAAGAGCCTTTTGTTGGGTTTTCCTCAGTATCAACAATGCTAGGCATAAAATCCATGTAGGTTTTTTTGGGGGGGGCAGGGCAGCGGATCTCACCTCTAAGTTGGCATAATGTAAGATCTGATTAAAAGGAAAGTGCTAATTAATTTTTCGGTAAAATATGCAAGTTTGAAGCCGTTAACCAGGAGTTGTAGTATAAGGTAAATGGTCACTCTGTGATCCTTGTCTCTTGTTACTTAGATCCAACTCTTATTTATACTTCCACTTGCCTTGGGCAGAGTTCAAGATCACCTAAGTGATGTATCTTCCAAATAAAGCTGTTTGGATAATCACAGTTTTAGCAAAGGCGATCCCTCATGTCTGTAGAGTGTATTCTCCACTCTGCTGCCAGCATTGCCTCACTATGTTACTAAGACAAGCTCTTAGCAGGTTACCAGCCTGCTTAGAAACCTTTGATGAGTCTCCATTGCTTGTGTAGTGAAGACCAAACTCCTTTGGTAGCATTTTAGGGACCTTCCCTTACTTAACCCGGCCTATGCTTCCTTTCCCTTTCTCCTGCCCCATTCTGACTGCCAGAGCAGAGACCATTTCTTGCCTTTGCTAGCTGATCTTCCAAGGCTCATCTCACTCACCCTGGGCTGCACCTTCAGAGAACATCACTTATAGTCCTCTTTAGTCTGACCAACAGAATCTGTTTCAGTAGTTCCCCTTATTCTCTTTTACACCTTCTAGGGAACTGTTTCCAAGTCTATCTGATCACCACGGTCTCCCATGTATTTTGATATAAACACAGTTCTTTATTCCCACATCAGATCAGCAAAATTAGTCTATGAGAGTAGGGCTGGTGGTGATATGATTCATTAAAGCTTGCCTGGGGATCAGAATGCAAAGCTAGATGCAAGCCATAGAGCCAGGCAATGGTGGTACATGCCTTTAATCCCAGGACTCAGGAGACAGAAGCAGATGGACCAAGACTACCCTGGGCTACACGAGAGTGAATCGGTGTAAAAGAGAAAGAGAGCGCATGTCTTTAATACCAGCACTAGAAATGTATGTATGGAAGAAGCAAAGGGTATCATGTGAAATTCAGTTTCCAGTCACAGGGAAGACAGGATCTCCATTTCAGTCTTAATAGAGGTAAGAGCTACTGGCTGGCTGCTTTGCTTTTCTGATCTTCAGCTTGAACCCCAATATCTGTCTCTGGGTTTTTATTATTCGTGCTATTAGGGTCCGAGAAATCTGTGGATGTAAAACAGTATTCTGGGCAATTGGGACTGGTAGGCTTAGGACCATTGCTCTAGGGTGAGTCAGGAATTTTCCATGGGCCCAGACTGGTGACAGATAGAAGTGTAACATAAAAAATAAGTGGGGTTTCAAACTTCAAGCTGAAGTTCAGGAAAGCAAAGTAGCGGACAGCTAGCTCTTACCACTACCGCAGGCTGAATGGGCTCATCCTGCTGCTTCCCCTCAGCATGTCTGGAGAATGAATGCTTTATACTGAGACCTTGCTCCTGTCTTATATACCTCCCTAATCCTGGGACTAAAGGTGTGTGATCCCAGGTGCTGAGATCATCTTTGTGTGAGCTGTTTCTCTTTAGAACTGGATCAATCTTGTGTAGACCTAGGTGGCCTTGGACTCACAGAGATCTGTCTACCTCTTAATACTGAGTCCTAGGATTAAAGGTGTGTACCACCACCTCCTAGCTTCTGGCCGCTGGGATTAAAGGTGTGTTCCTGACTTCTATGGCTCATGGCTGACTTTGCTTTCTGAATCCTCAGGCAAGCTTTAATAAATCATAAATACTGTATTGCCACACAGAAGACAGAAGAATGGAGGAGACGAGAGCTCAGACACATCAAGGGTCCCCTCTGTACCAAGTCTTGCTCGAGGGAACATTACACCTGATGATCTATCCAGTCACTGGCAAGGCACAGTGGTAAAGCATTGCTACACAAGTACCTGAAGCCCAGGAGGCTAGGCACCATACACAGTCCTCACTGGTTAGTAAGTTTGGTTGTTAATAGAACCAGTTCAACAGTTTTATATTTCTTATTCTCTTTATTCAGCCCACGTTAAAATGTCTAGGTTAAGATAAATGAAGATGCACACACATACACACACACATTTGTTTTTTTGAGACAGGGTTTCTCTGTATTGTTTTGGAGGCTGTCCTGGAACTTGCTCTGTAGACCAGGCTGGCCTCGATCTCACAGAGATCCACCTGCCTCTGCCTCCTGAGTGCTGGGATTAAAGGTGTGCACCACCAACGCCCGACTGAACATCTATATTTTTAGATGTTTCATGTCTCACTATATCCAACCAATCTGCAAGACCCATGCATTCTATTTGCTCATGTCCTTTATCATGGTGACCACAGAAGTTACTTTCTGCTTATCTGCAAGCCATCTCCTGTCATCTCTCAAATCCATTTTCCCAGCTGCAGCCAAATGATCATTTAAAATTGAAAAGCTGCCAAAGCTACTCTGTTCATGGTCTATTTTGTCACATAAAAGATTTTCTCTTTCATATAGACAAATATGTTTATTTTTTTCCTGTATAGCTTCAAGCTTTTTAGACTTGATAATGAGTATTTAATGAACCCAATCTGACCTTCACTTTAGATTTCTAATAAGAATAATAATTCAGGATTTTATGTACTTTCAATGCTGAAATAGTTTGTATACTTTAACATAAAAAACTTACATTAGGAAAATGAGTAATGGAATGGGACTAAAGGTATATTAACAGCTCAGTTGGCAGAGTGCTTGCTAAAATTAGGAAGTCCTAGATTTGACCCCTTAATATCAAATAAATGGGACTTGGTGGTGCTTGCCTGTAACTCCAGCACTGGAAAAGTGGAGGCAGCAAGACCAGAAATTCAAGGCCATCTTGGGCCACATAGAAAGGACAGGCCAGCCTCAGTACAATGAAACTCTATCTTAAAGCAAAACAAAAGCAAGCAAAGCAAAATGTTTGGTGGATATACAAAACATTTTATAGATGAGGAAATCTAACCAATATGCACAGTCACTAGAGGCTGAGAGAACAATGGGATGCCACTTTCTGTCTCCCAGGTTAACATAGCAGCACTCATTGCTGGGGATATGGACAGGAGAAGGGTGCTCTCACAAACTTCTGTTTCTAATGTGATTTATTGTGTTTTCCATCCTAAGGAATCTGCTTTGCAGTATCTTCACAGGAACACGCCCACAGGAACAGGTTCACACAAGTCTTTTGTATGATGTGTGTGTTCATAGTTCTGTTAATATGCAGAAAACTGTCGGAAGTTCTTTTTTTAATGAGTTTTTTTTTTTTTTGAGACAGGGTTTCTCTGTATTGTTTTGGAGGCTGTCCTGGAACTCGCTCTATAGACCAGGCTGGCCTCAAACTCACAGAGATCTGTCTGCCTCTGCCTCCCCGGTGCTGGGATTAAAGGCGTACACCACCAACACCTGGCCTGTCAGAAGTTCTTAATATAAATTGTTAGGGTATGAAGGTCAATGACGGCAGGGAGTAGGCAAACAAAGGAAGTTCCAAGCTAAGACAAACAAGGACAAAGGAGCTGGTAGAAAGTTTCAGTAATGAAGGTGCTGGTCGTGGTGGTGCATACTTTTAATACCAGCATTCGGGAGGTAGGGACAGGGGACCTCTGTGACTTTGAGGCCAACTTGGTGTACATAGCAAGGTCCAGGACAGCAAGAGATATATATCGTGAGACCCTGTCACAAACAAACAAACAAACAGACAGACAAACTCCCCAAATTATATCAGCAAACAAAATGCTACAATTTATATCTTGAGTGTCCTCCAAGACCCATGTATTAAGGGGCTGTCCTCTGGCCCTGATAGTATTGTAAGGAAGTGGAATGTTTAGGAGGTAGGGCCTAGTAGAAGGATTAGGGGGATACCCTTGAAAGAAACACTGAGACCTAGGCCTCTTTGTGTTTCCCCTTTGGTTTAAGGGTATAGACTAGCTATTCACAGACTTCATTCATTTTTATATATTTTTAACTCCTTGGCAAAAGTCAAAATTATGCATGAAGCTTGGGAAGACAGGGCAGTTAGTAAGTGTTTTCTATGCAGGATCTGAGTGCAAGCCCCAGAACTCAGGTTACACAGACTAACAAGCAAATGAACAAATATGCATGGGAAGTAGAAGAAAATGTTACATTGTTTGATCAGCAGATACCGTGAGTTTTTGCCACAGTTATGGAAAGCCAACCAACATATGTGATATAATTACCTGCATTTATTTACATATAACTCTGTGTGTGTGTGTGTGTGTTGTGGATGAAGTCTCTCCACTTCTTCCTGCCATGCACAGTGTTCTTGGCCATGACCAGGGTTGTTAGTTTTCCAGAAGAAGCAGCGGGAAGCAGACTAGATAGACAACAAGTGATCCCCATGATTGTCTCAAAGTATCTTGGACTCAGCCTTTGATTCCCTCTGGCCACTACGTGTCTTGGTGCCCAGAGTTCTACATCCTATCTCCCTTTGCTCCCGTCTGGCCTTGAGGAACCTCAAGCAAAGGAGCCCCTGCCCATGCTCCTGTAAATGCCATTTGTCTAGCAAGCTTGCTCAGGACCAGACAGGAAGCTAAGTAAGGATGACTCAAAGTTCCAGAATGTGTCCGGGGACACTGGAGCTTGCAGAGAACTAAGACAAATGTGAAAGGACTTGACAGAGGGCAGGCAATTTTGAGGTGAGCAAGGGTGAGGGTGGGCAGGCCAAGACTGTTCAGAAGGATTCTACTTCCTCTGCATGTGCCTAAACAAAACAAGATCATCAAAAAGTTCAAATTTATAGGAGGAGAAAACTAATTCAGTTTATTTTCAAACCGCATTGTTAAAATTTCAAAACCCATACTAGTTTTATTTCCGGAGGCCGTGGCATTTCTGTGTACACAAAAAAGGGGGAAAGGAGACAAAGATTTTGTAATCACTTTCTGGAGATGTGGGGAAGCCAATGAAGGTCATTGCCTCAAGCAAGCTCAGAGAAAGCATTTCGATGAGGGTTAGAATGCAGAAACAGCTTAAACCAGATGGATCTTTGAAACCTGGGGAGGCTGCAAATGCAAAGAGATTTTCACATTAAACAATCCAAGCATCCCACCCCTGCAGTCACCCTGTCCTCTGTGTGGAGAGAGTTCCCATTAGCACAGGGTGGGGTTTACATGTATGTCCTTTCTCTTGTGGGAGAGCAAACAGGGGAAGTTCTGCTTAGTAAGTCAGTATAACTAGATGGAAGTCTTTTTCCTCTTAGAAAAAGATGTCCTTGATGGCCTGCCAGAAACACTCAGTTCTCAGGGTTAGCCTGCTTTCCCTCCTCATCAGGATTGTCCAGCATCCTCAGCCTCTTCTCCAGCCTCTGCTTCCATTCTTCGCGGAGCCTGAGGAGGAAACATCACACATGCAATTGGTTAGTGCATCTGTTTCCATGTCTGCTTCTCATAAATATTGAATGACTGTGTCATATAAGACTTTTCTCTTCCTTCCTTCCTTCCTTGCTTCCTTCCTTCCTTCCTTCCTTCCTTCCTTTCTTTCCTTTTGAGACAGGATTTGAGATCATTCTAGGCCTGCTTCCTATAAGCAGGGTCAACACTGTTAAGGATGTGGATAGAAAAGCATCAGGGTTCTTCTCTGGGTATGGAGGGAGGCTCTTCCTTAGGACTTAAAAAGCTTTTAGAAAGCGATGCTGAAAGCTGGATGTGGTGGCTCATGTCTGTAATCCTAGTGCTGGGGGCATGGAGGCCAAAGGATCAGGAGCTCAAGGTCACACTCAGATACATAGCTAGTTTGAGGCCAATCTGGCTCATATGAGTGACCATTCCATTGGTGAGTCCATGTCTCACTGGGACTGTTCCTATTTTAGGAGCGAAGAACCTAGACAGGCTCTGGAGAACTGAGCTGTTCCTGCTGCTCAGCCATTTAAAAAAATGATCCCTTTTCAGTAGACTGCCAATTAAAACAAGAAATTCATTTGTTAATGAAAATAAGACTGTGTTACCTTCTCTGCAAACTCTTACTGTGTATCCTTCCAGATGCGGGAGGTTTTCATGAACTAGTTTTTTTATACAGACAGACTTGTCAAACTAACACTGAAACTTAGTTTAGCCCTTGTATGCTGGGATTTTAATTGTGAAGGGCTGAAGAAGGGACTTTATTCTTATTTTTATTCATTTATTTTTGAGACAGTCTCTGTGTAGTTCAGGCTGGTCTTGAATTATCTAGGTAGCTGAGAATGATCTTGAATGATCTTTCTACCTCTGCACCCTAACTGCTAGGACTATGGCTTGTATCACCACACACATCTCTTGAGTAAACAATTGTAGGAAACAGAACCTTTAAAATTCAAATTATTATTGTTAATTATTATTATTGTGTGTGTGCGTGCCTGTGCTCGTGTTGTGTATTTGTGGGTGCCTGTGTCATGACATGTATGTGGAGGTCAGGGGAAAACTTTGTGGAGTCAATCTCTCCTTTATGTTGGTTATGGGGTTCAAACACAGGCAGGTCCTCAGGCTTATGTGGCAAGTGCGTTTACCTGCTGAGCCATCTGGACAACCCGAAACTTGATTTTTGTCTGTTTTGAAGAAAGTATTATTGATATCTGTAAGCTATTGGTTCTCAGTAGGGACCACTTTGCCCTCTAGTTACCTTGACTACAATGTGGAGTGGGAATCCTGATGACAGCTAATGTTTTGAGGTAAGAAATACTACTGCACATGTTATAAAGGGCAAGAAAGCCCTTCACTGCAAGCAGTTTTGTGGCCTTGAAGCATTAGCAGTGCTGACAGCCAAGTGAGAAACAGGCTATATAGATGCACCCAAGAAACCCCATAAAGACTGGCAATATTGAATGAGTGGTTCTATTAACCTTGGTTTCTGACTTTCTGTATTTTATGTTCTGAATTTTAAAAAAATGTCCTGGCTGGATAGAAACTGCCCCTCCCAGGACTAGCTCCTCACCCTCTTTTTATAAGAGTCTCATGGAGCCTAGGTGATGACTTTGAACTTCTAACCCTACCACTTCCACCTGTCCAGTGCTGGGATTACAGGTGTTTGCATCACACCTGCTTCGGTGCTGGGATCTGACCCAGGGCTTTGTGCATTCTAGATAAGCCCTGTAACAACTGAGTTACATTCTTGTCCCAGCAGAAGGCTCAGTCAATCTCCAAACCATCTACACCCAAGTCTATAGCTTCAACTCTTCCCATATTTAGCTTCCATATCTGCCACTGTGTTCCCCTTTCTGAAAGCATCCTGTAACCAGTACTGACAGCTAGCCAGCCAGAAGCCCATGGGGATTGTTCAAACCAGCCAACCTTGAAGTGTCCTTTCTTTCCTGCCTTGGCATGGAAATCCCCCAGAGGATATGGCTTACACCTTATTTCTGACTCTTATGTTCTGATTAAAACCCGCTCCTTCTTTGACGCACTGAGTAAGTGGAGGAGATACCTCTCTGGGGACTTGAGAGTTTAATAGACTTCTTTGCCTCCACATCTTGTTCGTGCCCCCCCCCTGTAGTATAGAATCCGTCACCAAACTTCTTATTACAGTGAAGTGATGAAAAAGAGCTGGACCCCTCTCCACATCTGGTGTAATTCCCAAGGAAACCTAAGACAGGAAAGCAATCCACCTACTTTCTCAGAGCACTTCTCCCCTGGCGATCTTCTTCAAGCTCTCGGTAAAAAGTCTGTTTGCTAATTTCCTTTTCCCAGAAGCTTTTGAGCTCATCGCAGGTCTCGCAGCAGAAGACTTCCCTGCGCATGTACTGGCTGTTCATCCCTGCAACGTGAAAGATAAAGCTTAGCCCAGCACTGCAAGCAGCAGCACCCTGATTTGAGACGTGCTTGAATCCAGGTGAATTTAAATTCACAGTTTTTCTGTCATCACACACTAACGGAATCACTTTTTTTTTTTGGCTACTGCAGATGAAGATAATAATAATCATGTAAAAAGTATTCTGAAAACAGTTGAGCAAAGGAAAGTCTGTAGCCCTTGAAGGTAATCTTATTTTTAAGCAGTTGACTTTTTTGTTGTCTTTCAGCCGTTTTGCTATACTGCAAATTATAGAAAAATTACAGTACTATGAATGATTCCAAAGCACAGAATACACCTGTGGATGTCAATCGATTTTCATCTACTACAAACATATTGATTTTTAAAACATTATTTTGAATCAGTTGTGATTTGTGTGTGGTGTGCATGCATGCATGTGGGTACACTTGCCCTGTTCATGTGGAGACCAGAGATCAACACTTGAGAGAGGGGCTCTCACTGAACTAGGAGCTCACCGATCCAGCTAAAATATGGTCCTGGAATCTGTCTGTCTCTGCATTCTCCCAGTGTGGGGGACATAGCTAACCTGGCTTTTACATGGGTGTTGGTGATGATTCAACTTCAGCTTCTCATGCTTGCACATTGTCTGCTGAATTTCTTCCTGGCTCCTCGCTTGAAGTGTTCTACCCACTGTATTGTTGTCCCTTAGTGCTGCTTTGTGAGATGGCTGGTCCTACACTCATCACTCACATGAGGAGACTGAGCAATAGAATTAGCCTTCCTAGTGAGTAAAACAGAGCTGAGTTTAAACCTAGGTCTGCTCACCTTCATGGGGGACTGTCTCTATGCCTTATGGATGGCTAACTTAAGCCAATTAACTTCCCATTTTGCACACAAGGAAGTGGATGCTGAGAGGCATTCGTTGATTTTGTTGAGGTCATACAGTTTCAGGACCTCCCCCACCCTGACTCCTGACCTTTATTTTATTTATTTATTTATGGTTTTACGAGACAGGGTTTATCTGTATTGTTTTAGATGCTGTCGGTCCAGCCTGGCCTCGAACTCACAGAGATCTGCCTGCCTCTGCCTCCTGAGTGCTGGGATTAAACGCGTACGCCACCAACGCCCGGCCCTGCCCTTTATTTTTGCCTCTCACTTTTCTACGGAGTCCTGCAGATCTCTCTGTCTTATACCACACCCGAACATGCAAATACTATCTGAATTGGCCAAGCAGACCACACTGCTTATCATTCCAGCAGTAGCTGGAATGGAGGTCTTTACCATGTCTCATCTAATCCATAAGGGGGCATGTGGGCACGGTTCTCCCTACAGCTCCCATCCCCTGACTCACTCGACAACTCCGTAGGTTGTGTTCTGTCAGTAAGATATATGAGGGAGCCAAGAATGAGGGCATTAGATTGGTCACTACCATGAGCTTTTTTATACTCAGAGTCCCAGTTTCATTACCCAAGAGACAGAGTCTAATTGTTGTGACCCAGCTGGTGGTACTTCACACATGGACTGCTATTTCATTCCTTAACATGATACTCGTGTTTGCAGAATACTCGCAGTCTGTTGCCCACCCGTGGCAAGCATAAAAAATGTTAACTGCCCCCTGCATACACTCTCATCAACTTTGGTTTTATGTGATATCAAATGCTTCACTTCGCACTGACTCAGCTCATACTTAAGGTTTATTTATTCCCGTTGCTGGGCTATTAGGATTAGAAAACCTGAGATGACATGGATAAGAGGCTTCCCCTTTGTCCAAGGCCCAGTGTTAGAGGCTGGACAGATGCCTTTAGCAAAGCTTCTGGTGCCACTTAGGATGTTACATTTGTGCCCTCCCTGTGATCAGGCAGAATAATCACATTCACTGGGTGACGCCGAGCATGCTGAAGAAGTGACTGGTCTGCTAAAAGCAATCGCTGTCATCACTCACAACTGCTCCCATCCCTTACAGGTCATTCACAGCTGCTTGTTTTGCTGGGAGATCTAAGCTCAGCTTTTAGCTTTATGACAACTTCTGTACCATAAAGTACACTTTGATTTAGAACAGATCCTCTCTCTAGCTTCTCTCTCTCTTTAAATCTGTTTTATGCTTACTGCTTCCATGTACTGTGTTGATTGTGAGCAGCGCAATAGTGACTGGCGCTATTGTGCTGTGTTTACTTAGCATACGTGAACCTCCGCGTTCAATCCCCAGTACCAAATGAACCACCTGGGATTCTGTCATGTGTGAAGGGGAGAGAGGCTTGGGGACAGAAGTTTAAGGTCATCCTTCACTGTAGAGCATGTCTGAAGCCAGCATGGGGTACTTGCGATCTTGTATCAAAAAAGAAAAAGAATTGATAGCAATTTTAGGAAAATATAACTCTAAGGCAGGAAACGGGTCTCAAACGGGTCCATTCTGTTTTCCCTAGGGAACTGATGAGCGCTGTCAGCTGTGACTTGCTGTCAGCTGTGGACCTACTTGGAACAGGCAGTGAAAATCATCAACTATATACCTCATCTGCACTCATGTGGAGGCAGAAAGGCATTGCTTGGCCCACCTGCTTTCTCTGCAGGTTGGAAAGATGGGAAACCTCCTGGGATCTCAGTGGCATGGATCAACAGTGTTTCAATAGCTCAGAAATAAGACACACGAAGTCACGTGTAGATGTGCAAACTGCTGGAGGCTGTCTTTCCCGTGTTACTGTACTAAGATTAAGCTCTGATATTTTACAAGAGGAATTTTCAAATTAGATGTCTCCATTTTGCTCTTGTGAAACTGGCTTAAAAAATTCAACTTCAGGTCTTTTAACTCTCCCACCTGAAAGTTTCAGCTTGTTGATTTCATTCCCTGGTGTGTGTGGGTACCTTTTGAGTCTCTTTGACTTCCTCCAATCTTTAGCTCCTCTAAGTACAGAGGACAACTGATGGGGGACGTCCTGTGTAGATGTCAATAAAGCACTGTTGGCCAATAGGGAACCAAGATAGGTGGGACTAGGAGTCCAGGAGGACTCTGGGAAGGAGAAACACGAAAAGTCAAGATGTAACGCCATGGGGTAGGAAGCCCGGAAACGTCTCCGGTAAGAGATATACTTAGATTAACAATTATGGGGGTAATTACTTAAGTCAGAGCTAGCCAGTAAGAAACAAGCAAGGCCAACAGCTTCATAATTAATATAGCCTTCTGTGTGTTTATTTGGGACTGATGCGGCTCTGGAACCAGGCTGGCGGGAAGGCTTCTCTCAAGGAAAAGGCTCCCTTTTACAGACAACTTCTTTGCCTTGACACTCAGCTTAACTGTTTTGTTCTTTACCCTAATGGCTTAAAAGGGAGGGCAACAAATTTGAGTAAGTCTAGAGGTTAGAAGGTCACATACATTCACTCTGGTTTTAAAGAAGCGCTATTACCGTGTGTGAATGGGAGGCCAAGTGTGCCGCAGTGTACAGCACAGTGGAGGTCAGACGACAACTTTGGGGAATTGGTTTTCTCCTTTTACATTTTAGTGGGCTGCAGGCATTAAATTAACACTCTTGTCTGCTGATCCATCTTGCTGGCTCTGTACTGGGTATTTATTTTTTCTTGTATGATTGCTTCTCATGCTCACTTACAACTCTGTCAGGTTCAGTGTATTTAACTTCTTGTTTCCTCATTAAAAAAATAAAATCATGGTTATACGGAACAAATTTCTCCCCTTTAATATGACAGTAGGTTAGGCAGGCATGTCATCAGAGTATTTGGGAGGTGGAGGCAAGAAGATTAGGAGTTTGAGGCAAGCCTGGACTGCATGAGGAAGACACCTGTTTTAACTTCCAGGATTGCCTCAGTGTTAAATTTCTCCAATTAACAACTGAGCTGTGAGTATTGGTGAATGGCCATGTTCTTAGAAAGGACACATTGAAGTGTGTAGGGGTGAAAGGTCATGATGTATCACCTTATTCCCAAAGGGGTCAGAAAAATATGTAAGGAGATAAAGTGTAAAATAAGACAGACAATGATAGATGTTTCTGGGCTTGTGGTCATGGGGTTCTTCTTCTTCTTCTTCTTCTTCTTCTTCTTCTTCTTCTTCTTCTTCTTCTTCTTCTTCTTCCTCCTCCTCCTCCTCCCCCTCCCTCCCTCCCTCTCCCTCTCCCTCTCCCTCTCTCTCTCTCTCTCTCTTTCTCTCTCTCTCTCTCTCTTTCTCTCTCTCCTGCTTACTGGTATCTCTAGCCCTGATTTACCCTTATAACTTTTTGTAATCTTGAGATTACTTGCATATGAAATGTTAAAGAAGCATTCCTTCAGGGACTTCTAGATGACTCAGCTGGTAAAGTTGCTTACCACTAAGGTGGTAAACAGAGTTCAATCTCTAGGACTGATAGGTTGTAGGAGAGAACCAACTCTCATAAGTTATTTTCTGCTTCCCACATACATGCTGTGGAGCACACAAACACACACGCACATTTATTAAAAATAAAATCTTATTTTCATATCCTTAAAAGAGAAAAAAATGCAATGTCCATTTTCTTTCCCTTTTAGTCCCCAGCCTCTTATGTAGACTCCAACATCTATAAATCAACTGTGGATATACTTTGATTTAAAGACCCTTTGTATTAAACATTTTATAGTGCCAAAAATATGGAGAGCTTTAAAAAACAGTTTTGGGAAACTTTGAAAAGACAAGAGGTGATTGTATGGAATAGCCAAAATTAGAAGAATTTGAGCAACAAAACACCAAACTTTAAATTGATACACATGATTATAAGTAAATTAAAGAAAAAGAGAGTCCTAGTGAATCATGTAAAAGAGGAAAAGAAAACCAGGAGATCAGTCTATCTGAGACACACTGAGCTTGGTTAAAGATAAAATGAGCAAATGAAACTTGAAGGATAAAGAGTAGTGGCTTAACCCCATGAACATGTCTCCAAGCTGACTTCTCCCAGTGGAGGCTTTAGAATGGGAGCTTTTGATTTTTAATACCAGCTCCCACATTGCTGTTCTTATTGAGTCTGGGGGCATGTGGTGACTGAGGGGAAATTACCTTCACAGAGCAGAAACAAGGAACATTTTATTCAATAGGAAAGGGTCATATCAAAGTAGCAGTTGTTGATTTCACAAAATTCAGTAGTAGGTTGATTGCCTCTTTAGCACACTTCCCAAATCTGAAAGGCACAATCTACTCATAGTAAAATTATATATCAGTTACATTGTCCCCAATCAAACAAATGACTCCTAACCAAACTCCTGCAGGCTACCCAAATTTAATGTGGTAGGTCACACATACACATAAAATTATAAGGGACGTGAAAGTAGGAGGAAGCCTTGGGAAGAAAAAGGAATTTGGTGGGAGGAGAAAGGGATATGAGATAATGGAGATCAGGAGAGATGTAAGTTATAGATAAAATTGTAAGAGGATAAATAAATAAATTAAAAAACGGCAGACAAGTTCAAATTCAGCCTCATTCTACAAAGCATCTGACTACTCACTGCTCCTTAAAATTATCAAGGCCAGGGCAGCCCAGATGTAGATGCTTGTTTAGCATATTAAATCCTAGTATGTTTCACTTCTCAGCAACACACACACACACACACACACACACACACACACACACACACACACCACACAGATATCAAGGTTATGAAAGACGGAAAGACTGAAAACTTGTCACAGAATGGAGGAGGATATAAAGCTATGATATATATTCATATAATATATGTCTCTATATATGTATGTATGTATGTATAATGTTTGTGTTCCCCCACATAAATGCAATATGGGGTCCTGGACTAGATCTTAGAACAGAAAAAAATAGATATCAGTGGAAAAACTGGGGAATCTAGATTTTATTGTGGCAGCATTAACCCTATGGTTTTGAAGAATGTTCCAGGTCTTTGTAAGATGTCAACATCTTAAAGAAACTGGGTGACAAATGTATGGGAAAGTACTTCACTCTCCTTGTAACTTTTCCTAAATCTAAAATTGCTTTAAAACAAAAAGTAATTTTTGTTTTTATACCACACACATACATTCTCTACCACTTGTTGACAACTATGAATTATGGGAGACGTTCTGGCCAAGGAGTCTTCACTGCATCTGGAGGTATTCTGTCCTGAAGTGATCCATGCCATGGATCTATCTGTGCCACAGAAAGAGCCCCAGACTAACAGTTATGGGCCCTGTGCATTTCCCTCCATTTCCTTATCAGTAGAGTATGATCATGAATACACACAAAGTCAATCAGCTTTCAGCGGAAGAAGTGGCAGGGACTTCTTATTTAGTTCCTAGCATGATTAATTCTTAATAAAACCTTGCTTTTCATCTTTATTGTTTAATAACATAAAAATCAAGACTCTTGCAAATTCTAGAATTTGTATACTTCTTCACAGGATAAGTCACTTAGCTGCAGATGCCTGTGGGCAACAGTCCACACTGAGTTTTTCAAAGTTTTCTAGTTTTTCAAAAGAAATTATAAATAATGATTTAAAAAAATACTGGCAATGAATTTTAAGACACTTTAACACACTGGGCAGAATGTCAGAACCTGTCTGTGGTCAGAGTTGCTTTTGGGTGTTCAAGTTTTGACCCTTATATGAACCAGTGAGCTCCAACACAGGTGCGTGCAGAGTGCAGATGAATTACCACAAACACAGCACTGGGTTCTTTCTTCCCTTCCTCATCCCCACTCCCATCTCCCCAGGCTACAGTTAATTACCGGGAGTTTATCCTGGGCCCATCCAAGTTGTTCAATTTGATGTCTCCTCACCCAATTGGATGTGCAAAGAGCCGGGGAGGCCACTAGCTGCTCTTGCTATGGTCTAGGTGGATTGGGAACAGAGTTCAAGTCACCATGTTACCTGGCTTTGATCTTCATACCTTCAATTAGACTCCTAAGTACTAAGGGTTAGGGATTTGTTTAACCCTGTGAATTTCATATGGTAGCTCTGAAGGACACAGAGCCAAAATGTCCTCATGCTGATGACACTCACCTACTCAGACTTTTACAAAGACTTCTCAGCTAAGCATTTCTCTAGAAATTTTATGTTCTCCTGCAAAAATCCACAAATGAGTAAGTAAAAATAAATAAAGTAAACTGCTCAAAAAACAAAATTCAGTTCAGATTTGGCATTTTTCCTTTTCAGTCTCCTTCCTACTTCAGGAAGCTGTTCCTATGTCTCAATAAACCTTGCTTGCTCTTCAAACACAGTGTCTCACTTCCCTTACTTAAACTGCCAGTCCAATGACCTTTAGCTGTCACTAGTCAATGCCATTATTTTTTCAATAGGAGTAATGATAAGAGGCTACATATCTCCTCTGAGGCAGTGGGCTGTAGCCACTCTGAGGTTAACATTTGTTGTAGAAAAATCTGGGGGTGCTGAGGATATCCCTCAGTTGGTAAAGTGCTTGCCCTGTAAACACTAGGATGTAAGTAAGTGCTTGCCCAGAATGCAGATGAAAAACAACAAAATTGGGGCCAGGGGAGGTGACTCAGTAGGTGAGAGTTCTTGCTGCACAAGTATAGGGACCTCCGTTTGAATTCCCAGTACCCATGCTGAAGCTGGGAATGGCTGCTTGTGCCAGTAACCCCAGCAATGAGGGACAAAGACAATCAGATCCATGCCGAGGTAAGGTAGGGTCGGGTAGGATGGGTGACTCACTGGCAAGTCAGCCTAGCCTGAATGAGAGATCCTGTCTCAAGGGAATAAAGCTAAGAGTGATAGAGCCAGCCACCTGATGTCCTACACTAGCCATCATACGCACGGCTATGACACACACACACACACACACACACACAGAGAGAGAGAGAGAGAGAGAGAGAGAGAGAGAGAGAGAGAGAGAGAGAGAGAGAGAGAGAGAGAGAGAGAGAGAGGAATGGAGTATCTGTAAGGAAGGCATCTCAATGTCTTATGGTGCTGTTTAGTGAGATTAATCCCGATATTCCCCACTGTCCCACACTAAGCCACGGGGCCTGCTTTCTGAATAGATTGGATGGATCATTTTAATCAATAACAGAGGGATTGGATGGATCATTTTAATCAATAACAGAGGGATTCATCAGAACCCCAAGGGACCAAGGGAAGCAAGAGTGCCTAATTGTAACAGATTGAGGACAATGTTAGAAGGCAGAAGAAACAAAATGACCTGACCCAGGGACAAGGCACTTAGCACAATCTCTGGGGCTGCACAGGGGGATATGATACATGGAAACAAAAACATGGGCTTCCAGAAGCACTTCGTGTCCCTCCCTGGTCTTAGAGACTAGGGTACTCCCCTCTTCCCTTTGTTGCTGTGCTTATCCCTGTGTCTGAGGAGGCATGTGAAAACCACTGTAAGCTATGATTTATTCAGTTTTTCTTGTTAAAATCTTTAGGTTTCAATTTCTTCACTCTCAAATGAGGCTATCTGGCTGTCTTGCATATATGGAAAGAGCAAACAGAAACAGATTGATTTTTAGCAAAAGAGACTGGTTTTATATGTAAGTGTTTCATTTCTCTGCACCTGCCCCCTGAAAAAGTGGTTCTTTCCAGTCTTTATATGTATGAGGAAATCATTTCTCTTCTTACTAAATCGTTACTAATTTGGTTGGAAAAGTTTCCTTTCACTTTGATTCTTTTTTTTTTTGAAAGCAGGTCTCATGCAGCCTAGTTGATCTCAAACTCAGATTATAGATGAACTCATGATCTTCCCAAGTGCTGGGATTACCAACATGAGTCCCCACTGCTAGATTTCAACTGTTGGCTCTCAAATTTACTGATTAATTTCCCCTTAAGACTCCTACAATTTTACATTAAATAGCCACTTAGTCAAGTAACATTTGTTGCAAGTTGACTTTGGAAGACTCAAGCATTCCTATCTCTGTAATGAATGAACATGCAATAGCCAACTGTAAAAACAGAAACAAACAAACAAAAGTTCTCCAGATTAATTTTCCAAGTCCCAAGTCCCAGGTTACTCAGTCAAGTAAAATCCTCAAATTAATTTTAAAGCCTTCTATTGGTTGACTTCTTGAGGAGCTTGTGTAGTCTGGCACCTCTAACAAATGTTGTTTCTGGGACTAAGTTTATCCATCAATCAACACTAGGTATATCCCTTATTTTGGTTAATCTTCACAGAGCCTAACTCTGTAAGATTGGCACCAATTCTTGATTTTTTTCACATCCTTGAACTTGAATGTCACATATCACTGACATTTAGGGAAAAGAAAACCAGAGATGTAACTCCTCCCCAAAATAACCTAAAACACCTCAGCTCATTCAAGACATCTCAACTGGCTGCAGTAGGCTGCTCCCACAACCTGACAATAGCACAAGCTCAACCCATCATACCTTAAAAATGAATCTCAGGTGAACTGATATCCTGTTAGGGTGCAAAGAAGGGCAAGTGTCCTGGTTCAGGCCTCCTCAGCTCCACTTTGGGAAAGCCACAGGCGCTATTCTGAAACCTCATTGTTGGAGCCTTTTATATATGGAGTAGAGAGAGTGACAGAAATCCCTCAGCCTTTCAAGGTCGTTTGAGCCAAATTAGTAGGAATCAGGCAATATCTCTCCAGGGACACTGTAGCCTTCCCTCATGGTGAGAGATGGTTCTAAAGAAATCCCATTTCTCCCTCCCCTGCCTGCCCCTGAGAAGGCCAGCTTCTGTTTTGGCAGTTTCTCATGAGCGTTATGACTTGGCCCGAACCGAGAGAGGTGGTTTAGAACATGCACGGATTACCCATGTGCTCTGTTGCTCTGTGACTTGAGAAAAGCCACCCTCTGCCTCTTAGTGTGCAAAGGGGACTGGAATGGTGGGACGAACCACACTTGGGTATAATCTTACAGGAAGACTTAGTGAGGCATCTTGTTCTTTGGAGCCATTAATCCTTGAATAGAATCGGTGATGACATATCACGGCCTGCTAGTACTCTACCAACTGGAGAAGGAATTGACCCCTGGAGAGTGTTTTCCAATCAAACGCATCCAAGTGAGATCGACTTCTCCTTTTAGAGTGGCTTTTGTCCCATCACGGAGGAGCACACTTTGTCCTTAGGAAAAACATTTGGAACAGTCACTGATCTGGTCACAGAAATAGCTCTGGTTTTCGTCAAATCCTTTGACTCTTCTGCTAATTGCAAACACACTGCATGGTTCATTGGGCTATAAATCTGCAACTCACATTATGTGAGACAATTCATCCATCATTGAGATGCAGATTTTAGCTTGCTAAAGTGGTAATATTTAATGTTGAGCCTGTAAAAGTATCTTAGTAAGGCCACTTACTGTAAACTGGATGGCTAATTTAATAGTAGAAATAAGTTTTAGAACATATTTTTTTAAATTATGGGAGAAAAGTTAGTTTGAAAGTAGTTTTCCTGGAAACTGCCTGTACAAAAGCAACAATTAAAAAAACTGCAATGAAAACATTTTCAAAATATTCACTGAAACCACAATGAGATTCACAATGAAGTTTAGATATATATCTTAAAACTTCAAATGAATGCTAATATTTTACATTTTATGTATATATTTATACTTAAAATACAGTAAAACTAAGTAGCAAACAGCAAATCCCTGTAAGATAATTGTTTTCTTTCTCCTTTTTCTCTCTCCTCTCCTTTTCTCCCCCTCTTTTTCCTTCTCCCCTCCCTCAATTTCCCCTTCTTCTCCCCTTTCCTCCATCCCTCATCCTTCTTTTCCATTTCCTTCTCTCTTTTCTCTATTGTATGTTGCAGAAGTTCTGAAGACTGTGTTGATTATATGTGGTGATATATTGTTTATTATCTAATAAAGCAACTGGAGATCAAAATGCAAATCTAGCCACAGCCGTAGAGTCAGGCAGTGGTGATACACACTCTTAATCCCAGCAGTCATTTATAGCTATAAGAGGGCAGGTGGTGGTAGCACATGTCTTTAATTCCAGGACTCAGGAGACAGAGGCAGATGGATCTCTGTTAACTTAAGACCACACTGAGCTACATGAAATTGATCCAGTCTAAAAGAAAAACAGCTCACACAAGGGTGATTTCAGCATTTGGGATCACATGCCTTTAATCCCAGCACTAGGGAGGTGGAGATAGGAGTGATATGGCTGGGCGGAGAGAGGATATAAGGCAGAAGGAGACAGGAACTCAGAGGATTGTAGTCTTGGTAGAGAACAGTGCAATCTGTATTGTACCTGGAGAATTCTTGGGGATGGGACAGCCCTTTCATGTTGGGGAAGTCTTATGCCAATAAAGCACTGTCTGGCCAATAGGGAATCTAGATAGGAGGGACTAGGAGTCCAGGAGGATTCTGGGAAGGAGAAACACAAGGGAGTCGAGATGTAACGCCATTGGGGTAGGAAGCCCGGATACCTCTCCGGTAAGAGACATACTTAGATTAACAATTATGGGGTAATTACTTAAGTCAGAGCTAGCCAGTTAGAAACAAGCAAGGCCAACAGATTCATAATTAATATAGCCTCCTGTGTGTTTATTTGGGGACTACAAAGCGGCAGAGCCCAGGCGACTGGCGGGTGATAAACCAAAGCAGCTAGCAAGGAAAAGCTTCCCTTAACACTTTCATCATGAGACAGGGTTAAGAGCTAATAACTAATTGCTTTGCTTCTCTGATCTTCAGCTTGAACCCAAATATTAGTCTCTGGGCTTATATTTTTCATGTTACAATTATATGAGACTCTTCATTCTTATTTGAAACCATGAGAAAAAAAGGAACATAAAAATATTTCTCATGGGCTGTTACCATACCCGGGACTTTTACAAACATTTAAACCATTGACATGGAATCTTGCAACTAACAATTGTTCTTCTTAATTTTTTTTAAATTTATTAATTTATTTCAAATATGTTTTGCCTGCATGTATGTACGTGCACCACATGCATGCTTGGTGCCTTCAGAAGTGAGATGAAGCAATCAGATTCATTGGACCTAGATCACTGTGAACCACTGTGTTGGTGATGGGAATCAAACCTGGGTCCTGTGCAAGAGTAACATGTGCTTTTAATTATTGAGTCATTGCTCCATCTTAAAGAGCCATCCCTTATGCTCTTCCTGTTTCAGCCAAGATTTTAATCTACAGGGATAGAGATGTCCACATTCTGCTTTTGCATTCTGTTTACTTGGGAAGACATTGGTTTGGAGAGATGAGATCACATAACTGAGTAATGGCAGTATTAGGATCTGAACCCAGGCTGCCTAACTCTTATTTTCTTGCCTAAATGCTCTCATTGAGCAGTTATAGGAAGGCTCATGTCACAGACAAAAGCTCATAACACTTCCACCTGTTTTCTTATCATGAAAAGGGGGACTTATATGAAAGAGGAAGGAGTGATAGACATAGCTCATGCCAGACACTTTGCAGAGGACCCTCCTTCTGGAAGATGGAATATTGATAACAATAGTGGTCTGTGACCTAGGTAGTGTCAAAACAGGGTGAGGAGAAAAATAGGGACACTCAGCCGAGAAGAAGCCACTTCAAATCTACATGCAGGTACTCACTTCAAGATTTTAAGATGTTGCTCCATATGTAGTTTTTTGGCAAGAAAATACTGTAATTACAAAGAGCCCTTCTTTGTCCGTATGTGAAACTGGAGATTTAGTTAGGATTTTAACATTTTGAGTTTAGTTTGAGCCACAGTATGGATATCTCTTATTTTTATTTCAAAATTTTACTTTGTTTGCAAAACTATCTTTTTCTTGGAGTGATGGATTACCCCTTCCCTCCAAAAGCAACCCCCTTTCCTCCAAAGTAAAACCAAAACTTTTTTTGGTGGTACTGAAACTGAGCCAACGTCCTCATAACTCTGGCAGGTGCTCTATTGCTAAGCTACAGCCCCAGATCACTCTACATTCTATTTATTTATTATCTATCTATCTATCTATCTATCTATCTATCTATCTATCTATCACTTATTTCATTGATGGACAGACAGTTGAATGATTTACACTTTCTTGGCTCTTATGAATAATGTGGCTATAAAATTCATGCACAAGTTTTTGTGTGAACACCTGGTCTTGGTGTTATGGAACTGCACAGTTTTATAAATCATGCTTAAGTGCCTACAGATACATCTGTACATTTGGAATTGTCTAGAATTGTTGCTGTAGGTTTCTCTCCAGCCTGTTCTGCTGCTGCTTCTGCCGCAAATAAGCACACAGACACTATATTAGTTACAACACTGTTGGCTGATGACTAGGGCTTCTTATTGGCTAGCTCTGTCTTAATTATTAACCCATTTTATCAATATATGCATTGCTACGAGGGAATGTTTAATGTGTTTCTAACAATCTCAAGAGGTGCTTTGTCTTAATTCCATGGTCTTGGCAGCTCGGTGTCAGGGTTCAGGTGTAAAGTACAAGTCTGATGGGGATGTCTTCTATCCATATGTTTCTTTTATTGGTTGATGAATAAAACACTGTGACCAATAGGGCAGCAATATAGGTGGGTCTAGGAGATGAGGAAGATTCTGGGAAAGGTAGGCAGAGTGAGCCCACCTGATGCCAGAGGAGTAACACCATGCCTGGCATTACACTTCCCCTTGCTCAGCAGAGGTGTGCAACTGCTCTATGCTTGTGCCTCCTAACTATGATAGGCTGGTAGGTGTGGGGGAGGCCTGAGAGGAAAGCTTATAGGGGGTGTTCATACGTAGGAATAAATGGACTTCAGTTTATACCACTGGCCTCTACCTCGGAATTCATCACAGTTTCCCCAAGGTGGAGGTGTGGTCTGCATGATTAGGAAGTGGTTGTCTCAGAATTAATGGTTGAAAGGACATCCTAAGCTCAGATGGATCAGAGTCTTATTTTAACTGGCCGAGGTAATGTTGGCTTCAGATTCAGACACGTGCATCTTTTGAGTTGTGTCATCTGTCTTCAACCAAGTGAAAAGCAGAATGCGGCTCAGAGCAGAACCATTCATAAGCAATTACATGTGGGAGGTGCGCATGTCCCTGTGCGGTGTGCTGAGATGGAGTTAATACCTGCGCAATCTAGACATCTTGGCAGTGATTGGGTAATTAAACACTTTTTGAAACTTTTAGTTTTACTCTCTCTCTCTCCTCCTTTCATGTCTGTCTGTCTGCCTGTCTGTCTGTCTGTCTCTCCCTCCCTCTCGTGTGTGTGTGTGTGTGTGTGTGTGTGTGTGTGTGTGTGTGTGTGTGTCTTCATAGTCTTAGCTGTCCTGGAACTTGGTATCTAGACCAGGCTAACTTCAAACTCACAGAGATCTGCCTCCAAAATACTGGGATTAAAGGTATGTGTCATTATGCCCAACTTTTTACCTTTTTAAAAAAACTTAATATTTTATTGGCCTTTTAGAAAAGTTACAAGAAAATTATACAGTTCCCATAAACCTTGGTCTTTATGACTGAACAAGAGTGTATGTTGTAGAGTTCCCTCATATTTTTCAAATGTTAAACATAGATGGATCTTTTAAAATTGGATAGTGCTTATTTATATTGTAGTATTGGCTGTTAAAGCAAATAAC